CCAACCCAAACTATTCTATGATTCTATACATTAAGGGATGTGCCCACTGCCAGAGTCAGTAATGTTCTGATTCCTGCATTCAAAAAAGGTAAGTTTAGCAATTTCTAAAAGTTCTCTAGAGATTCCAGTGAGGATATTTATGTGTACAAGGGGGGCAAAAAGAAAAGCAAAGCAGAAAAAACAGATTAAACAGATCATTTAAATAGTACCACATAATGCTTTTAGTAGGAGAATGCCTAAGCCTACAACTGCACAACTGTGCAAGATTACAGAAAGTGCGCAGCTGGTGATATTAACCAGTTACAAGATCAGTACAGTTAGGTTTAGGTTAGTTAAGACTAAGTCCCACAGGCATTTTTGACAGCTAACTGCCATGTGCAGAGTATCTCAGTCCAAGAGAGACAGCTGAGGTTACCTCATAGCTGTTTTCAGCACACGTTAGAAAGATACTAAAACCACTAAACAAGAAATGGGTTCAAACACCTAAAGGTACTAGCAGGAAAACAATACAGAAACAAGTGCAGAATTCAATGTCTGCTGCAGAAAACAAAGTGTAAATGATGCCTTGAACCAGCAGAGGCTCTTGACAGCAGTAGCATGTAACAGATGCTGGCACAGCTCAAGTTCTGCCAAGCAGATTCAGGTTTGGAGCTTTCAAAGTCTTACAGATTTCACACGTTTTGGTCCACGGGTAGTAATGTGCAAGCTCCTGGTTCCATCCCCTAGGACTGACAGATAAAAAGGTGTTTATCTCTTTGAATTAGACTGATGAAAGTATCTGGAGCAGGTGACAGAACACCCAGGTGCATCTTTGCTCTCAGTTCTGGATTGAAGGGGACAGAGGTTTTTGCAAAGGCTGACAGCAATAGCTTACAAGGCTGCTCGGCAGGGAAAAGCAGACATTTGGGAAGGCAGAGAGCTCAGTGTCACCAGAAGGATGACATCTGCAGAGACCCTGGTGTTCTTATTGTGGAAGTTTATGTACATTTCATCTGTTCAGACCATTTTTCTCACAAGGTTAGAAGTAAGTTAGGAAAAAACCTCTGCTAAATACTGCAAGAAAGGCCAAGAGCAGAGAACCTACATCTACCAAATAAATGTGATGTAACACATCTCATTGCTTAGCAGTATCAAGTCCATGCTTGGGAGCAAGCTCTAGGAAGTGAAGGAAACCTCAGTATCTCTTGTTGCAAGAGTGAAACTACTCTTGGCATTCCCCTAATATAAATGCCTCCAATCTCCACCTTTTCTTTTGCTGCTAACCTGCAGGCTGCTCATGATAAAGGCACATTTTCCTGAAGAGGGCGAAACAGAACCTAACATGTATGTAACTATTCACTGTGCCTCTGGAAATAAACAGCTGACAGCCCAGTCCAATGAACTGTGTGGATAAGCCAGGTCTCTACAGCCAATCACCACCAAATGACAATCACCACTACTGCCACTGGTACCTCATCATTTCCATTCCCTTTTATCAGTATGGAGGACTTGGTTTTGTGGCTGTGTGGCTGCAGATCCTTGAACCTTTACCTGGTATCTTCTTTTGCTCTCCACTTACAACCTAAGTGTAAGCAAAACTGTTGCCTTATCATGTCTTTTATGTATAGGAGTGGACTGATTTCTTCTTCCAGAGATGTAATGTACAATGAGACTTTTAAAGGAAGGCTGAGAAAGCTCATGGCCCTTTTCACCACCCAGATACTCAAATACTGCAAACTTCTCTCACCCAGTTGCTTTAACAAAGAATTACAGCTCTTAGAACATTTGAATCACCTTTTGATACTGGAGAGCAACGACAATAACAAGTGATTACAGAACACAGTGTTACTGCAACATGTCTGCTGTCAGGATGTTCCACCTGAACATGAGCAAAAACTCCTTTACTGTGAGGATGACTGAGCATTGGAAGAGGTTGCCCAGAGAGGTTGCAGAGTCTCCTTCCCTGGAGGTATTCAAGAGCTGTGTGGACACAATTCTGATCAACGTGCCATAGGTGACGCTGCCTTAGTGGGGAGGTTGGACCTCCAGTGGCCCCTTCCAGCTTCAACCACTCTGTGGTTCTATCCGTGGATCTTATCAAATGTGAGCATAGAATTGTTATTCAGGCTTTACAAACAAATGACCCAGAAGCTGAATATGGCTCAGCCCCACCCCTGGCAGCGTTCAAGGCTTTAAGCAACCTGCTCTAGTGGAAGGTGTCCCTGCCCGTGGTCTTAAGGTCCTTTCCAAAGCAAACCATTCTATGATTTCCCCAATATTCAGGCACAGGAATCATGTCTCCTGATCCCCATCTACATCTCCAGGGGCTATATGCAATGTCCATAGTGGATTCCAAGACATAAATTCATACAACAGTATCACGACATCATCAGAGTTCTGGATCCCCAATGCCATGAGTTGTGATGATACAGAGGTCACGTATCTTGATGCTGTCTCAGTGTGACACAGCACAAGCAAGGAAAGACAGTGGATCTGCAGCTATGTGTGTCGCTGTCGATCACCAACATGACCTGAAAGCAATGAACCTGAATTGGCAAGTTACACAGCTAGCTAAAACAGTGTGACAGAAATCATGCCAGACAATGAAGCACATTTCTATCCACTTGGAAGCAACTTCTGAAATGTGCTGATAAAACCCCACTGTCATTTAAAAGGCAAAGAGAAAGACACCAAGGAGGGTAATAATTTTCTTCAGGAAAGGGCACTCAAATCATGATGTTTACACCATAAATAACTTTTCTTGGGCATGTTGCTATATTCTCCTTCAATTTATGAGGCTCTGCAATTATCAGGTATCTCTAAATGTTATCACAGGAGGATCTAAGCATCCTACAGTGACCAAAATGCTGGTTTCCCAGGCCCAGTGTGAGGTAAGGAGGTGGGTACCAAGACACAGTGAGTCCAGGAACTAGATCCACAGGGGAATCCTAATGCTCCTCAACTTTTACTTCTGAAGTCCAATGCCAAGCACCACTGACCCCCGCCCCCAGAAAAACTGCTACCAAAGAGATGGCCTAAAATCCAGTGTAAAAATGACCAGTTGCCTGTGCAGTAAGGTTCAAGTGGCAAGTCTGGCTGAGCAGAAAACTGAATGCAAATCCCCCACTCTCCCTCAGCCTAAACAATATGCATCTGAGGATGTTCTGCTTCCATCTGCAGTCCACAGAATCCAGTTGATACCAATGTGCACAAGTCAGGAAAGACCGTGCTCAAAATATAACTCAATCATCGCCCCTCAGGTTCCCTTACACCAACCCAGCTGGCAACCCAGGGAGAACCATTAGAACACTTCATTATAAGTAGCATGCATTAAAAGATAAGCAAAATGGTGCCTTCCCGTATGGAGGCAGGCAGAGAACACTGGGGCTGTTCAGCCTGGAGAAGAGAAGCTGATAGAGACCTCAGGGCAGCTTCCAGTGTCTGAAGGGGGCTACAAGGATGCTGGAGAGGGACTCTGCATCAGGGACTGTAGCAACAGGACAAGGGGTGATGGGTTCAAACTGAAACAGGGGCAGTTCAGGTTAGATCTAAGGCAGAAGCTCTTCCCTGTGAGGGTGCTGAGGCGCTGGCACAGGGTGCCCAGAGAAGCTGTGGCTGCCCCATCCCTGGCAGTGTTCAAGGCCAGGTTGGACACAAGGGCTTGGAGCAACCTGCTCTAGTGTGAGGTGTCCCTGCCCGTGGCAGGGGGTTGGAGCTGGATTATCTTAAGGTCCTTTCCAACCCAAACCAGTCGGGGATTCTACCATTTCATACGTGATCCAAATGTTTTGGATGTAGAAATGCCTTAAGAGAAACTAAACCTCTGCCAATATAAATGGGCACAACTACCCTAAACTGAGTTGAGCAAAACCTGCCCTATGAGGAAGCTTTGTTTCCTTTACACCAAGATTTTATCAGGTTCCACAAGATATATGTTGTTATGTGTTATATTATTTGTTACAATACAGTTTAGTCCATTCTCCAGAAGTGAGCTTGCACCTAGCAGGAAATGGAGCATTTCCACACAGCCATAATGAGGTTAACCAAAATGGGGATACAGCCACAGCATCCAGGCCCTCCAAAACCCCTGCAAGGTGGCAAGTTCTGCTGAGTTCATGGTGGGGCTGAAGCAACCCACCTTAAAGTCATATTAAACAGAGCCAAAGTGATCCCTGCTGTGCTGCAGCTCCAGCTCCACTGCAGGGCTGGAGCTGGGGTCAGTTCTGCTGTACTTGGGTCATAACTAGGGTCAGTTCTCTTATGAGCACAATCTATAAGCATCAGGATAAAGAAATGGAAATTTTTTATGGGGCCTCAGAAGAGGCTCAAAAATATAAGCAAAAGAGATGCAAACTGCTTTGGGTGGTGCTTAAGTTACTCAATATGTATTATTCCAAAATGCCTTCTGTTCCTGACAGACTGAACGACCTTGAACAACTAAAGCAACTTTCTGCTCCACTGTCCTTGTCTTTATAATTAAAATTATGATCTTCACTTTCAAGTGAAAGGTGGAGTAAGACTGATGAACAGAAAGAATTCTAGACTGATGGCACAGTATTATCAAGATTTAATCACCAATATCTCTATGGGTCCAGCTCAGAGATAATAGAATCACAGAACCCCAGACTGGTTTGTGTTGGAAGGGGCCTTAAGCTCATCCAGCTCCAACCCCTGCCACAGGCAGGGACACCTTACACTAGAGCAGGTTGCTCCAAGCCCCCACCAGCCTGGCCTTGAGCACTGCCAGGGATGGGGCAGCCACAGCTTCACTCTCCTGGATCCTGGCCCTTTGCCCTTCAGAACATCACATCTGCTTACAATGAAATTGCAGGCACAGGGACCCCCTTCATCCCTTCTCATGAAAGAACTGGGGAAATAAAACACAGTATGGGGACAGCAATGTTCATGAGTGCTGCCATACGGGATTGCCACCAAGCACAGCAACCCATGGGGAGACAAACAGAAACATGTTGGGAAAATAGAAATCAAAACTTATCAGTTCACCTACGGTGTTTTCTTACCTCAGCTAACACGAAGCACAGCAATGATGCGTAGCTTCTCCGAGACTGATGCCTGCTCTTTGAAATCATGTTCACCTATGACAGAAACAAAGTCGACTGTGTCCATCTGTAAGAAGTACCGATTGTTTAAGGCATACTTAAAACATATATTTGTATCAGAATAAGGAATGGTGAAAATTACAGGAGGGATGAGGACTGGTCACGTGTCCTCCTTTATTCCATTATGAAAGAATTTCACGTTAATTTAAGCTTTCTTATTTTGTTAAATTGATTTTTGTTCCAAACAACAGTATTTATGCAAAGATTTGTTTTCACTCTATCCCTCCATACTTCAACAAAACAAATCCTTGCTCTCTTTTCAGAACTTTTCTAATGACTTCAAAGAAGCTTTAGCATGTTCTTACAGCTTATGTTAGAGGGCTCTGCTGAAGGGGCATTAGTTGAAGGCTTAGAAGTTGTGTCTTGCACTCACAGTACCGTAGATGCCTGGTTCTGAAGGCTCCAAGGAATGTTTGCTCTCAGCATCACAGCTACAACCACTTTCCTAATCCCTTGCAAGAATACTAAGATCTGTTGTTAAAACTAAGACAAACCAGAAGAGTAATAACCACCTGGAATAAAAACCTGCACTTCTCATCTCTGCCATAGGAAAAGAAGAGCAGAAAACAACACACTGGGTGCAATGATGCCAGAAATCAGCCCATCACTGCAACTGACTCAAATCTATAGAGGACTTTGCATCTCTAAGAATTAGGAAACTTCTAAATGCTGGGAATCCTCTCTAGATTGCTCTCTTCTTCCTTATAAAAACCTCAAACCCCAACACTATTGCTTTGCTTATTTCATTTGTAAAGCTCTGGTTTTCAAAGCTTTTCTCTAGGCCCTTCCAAAAAGATTCACAAAGAACCCTTTAGCTCTCTTCTTTCTCAACTGTGCCCTTACTCTTCCTCATCTCACCATTCCCTCCTTTGTGTTCTCTCCTCCTGCTCTTCCTGTGTTCTTCTGCCAGTTTCTCTTTATCCTTTTCACATCATCCCTTTCCCTACTTCAGCTTCGCTGATGTAGCGCCTCTTCCAACATCCTGCATCTCCTTCTCTGTCTCTTCCATGGTTCCCAAATCTATCTTTGACTCCCTTTCTTCCTCTAATGCTTTAGTACGCTGCAGCTGACACCTCTCTCTCTCTCTCCCTCCTGTGCACGTGCATGTCTCATACAGGGCTTGAGGCTGACCAGGCCGGTTAGCAGGATGCTGAAGAGAGAAGATAAAGCAGATGCTTCTGAGGAATAGCAGACAAACTGCTTCTCTGCTGGGACTTTGTCACTCTGGGCAGTTTCAGACCCAGTCTTTGGTGCTATGAAGCACAGCAGTAGTTACCTGCATTCAGCTTGTGTTTATCCAGGACCAATACGTGACCCCTCTTCAGCTGTTAGCTCAAAAAAGGGCCTAAGACTTGTCTTCTCCATGGAGAGACATGGTCTTATTAATCACAGAATCCTAGAGGTTGGGAGGGACTTTCAAAGCTCATCCAATTCAACCCCCCACAATGAGCAGGGACACCTTCAACCGGATCAGGCTGCCCAGAACCACATTGTTATAAGTACTGCAGATGGGTGTCTGCCAATGCTTAAAGCCCTCCATGCACCAAAATGGGGATGAACTGGAGAACCTGAGGTGTCCCCCAGAATTCCCTTTTCCATAACATGGAGACAGACATTGGTTAGAGCCAGGAACACCCATTACACAGGGTAAATACATGTCGTGTGAAATTGCCTTTCCAGAGGTTGCTGCTATGAGTTTGGAGGAAGATGAGTGAGCTGGAGTGCGGCATGAAGAAGCCATCTGCAAGGGCATAGCTGAAATGCTACAAGCATCCCTATAAAAAGCTGTTGGTAGAGAACTGGCTCTGTTTTAGCAATATGAAGTCTTTTTCTGTAACCAGTAACTAGGCAGCCTATGAGACAGCTCCTCTGGCAGTACACCACTGCATGCACGAGGCAGCCTGCACACACCTCCAGGAGGAGCTTGGGCAACAGTGTGTGACTGAGCAGTGGTACTCCCTTAACCTCTGAGGGATGGCTGGTGATAAGCCACAGCTGGATTTTACACTTGGCAGCTGTGGGGTGAACATCCTCAATGCATACAGCTGTTGCAAACATGCTCTCAATGCTTCTGATCCCATTTGGACCAAGATCTGTTCAAGAGAAGAAGTCTCAGCACTTCTCAACAGGAAAGAATTGCATTCATGTTTGTTGGTGGATTTTTTAGTGGGTTTGTTAGCTTTTCGTTTCTGTGTATTCTTGGCGGCAAGACCATGGCCAAAACAGCAGAATGTTTTTACATCCTGCGGGTGGTTTCTAGGCATGCCTACCAGCTCCAGTACTTCAGTTCACAGGGAGACCTCCCCTTTGGATGAGACATCAGCAAGAAGCTGGGGAAACTCTACAAAAGCTTTTAATGTAAACCATGTAAGATGCCTGGAGTTTACACACTTCCAGAGTTACTCAGAAACAGAAGTACTCAGGCTCACAGCTTGAATACGACTTCAAGTGATTTCCTTAATATCACATTTCTACCAGAGCCACAAAATGAACTCAAATAGCCTTAGTTCTGAAAGGGCATCCCCTGATCTTCTCATTATTTTACTACTTGTATTACCCACGCTTGCCATTTGTATGACTGCCTATGTCCCTTTGTTGGTGAAAGCCAGTTTGAAGAGAATCTGGTGCTGCCCATCTTCCGTATCTTGCTATGCAAGTGCCAAGCAGATCTAAGACAGTTCTGTATCATTATGGGTATTCCATTACAGGTTTCCCTGTAACCGAGGATTCACCTAGAAATGCAAATAGCATATTCTATTTCATTTGTCTCTTTCCAGCTATGGGTGAAGTTCACCTACACCTACCAAGTAAAAAGTACTTATCAATAATTCAGGAGATGTAAAGATATGCTCTGAACTAAAAAAATCCTTCTAAAATGCAAATAAAGCTCACTGGAACTATCTGTAGCACTCAGACTCCCCAGTGTGGTAAAAATGAAGAGGCTTGCCAGAAGGTAAAGAGAGAATCTGTCTGGGGAATGTTGGATTTGTCAAGAAAACAGGAAAATAAGGTCACTGTGCTATGAAGAAAACAGATTTGTGTGATAGGAACCCATTTTTATGTGCCAAATCTATGTAGTCTTCATAGAGGGAATGGAGAATGGAGAGAATAACATTTTAATGAAGAAAAAGAGAAAAACAATGAAGATACTTTAATCCGAGACACTGACATTCAATATCAACCATTTGCATCTATCCTATTTATCACCGGATAGGTTGAAAACAGGAGAAATATTCACTATGTTCTAGCTACCTCTCTGCTCCATGCATCTGCACAGAGGCAGCTGCTTTTTCAACCTCTCCTCAGGCTTCCACAGAATGAAGTCTCTGTTCTATCAGAAAGAACATGATATAAAGCTGAGAAAAATCAGCTTCAGCTGATATTTTAACTTCTCTAAGGCTGAGGAAACTCATCACAGAAAACCACTGTAATAACCTGAACCATATTTGTGGTGGAAATACAGAGAAATCTGAAGAACACCACAGTTCATTGGGTTTGCCACATTTTCACACTATTCTTCCTCTTTCTTCAATGGGATTTCTCTGACTAAGCTTTGGTGCTGCCGGAATTAAAAGTCTCTTTTTTCCTGATGCTGATATTAGTGATGAGGTTGGGGTGAGAGAAGAGAGGACAGTTAAAGCAAGGGGAAACTAAACTCTAACAATAAACGGGTGCTTTGAATAACTGACAGAATAGAGATAAGCCTGATATCTAATATAACCTGAATATCAAACTGAACTGCAGAATAACAAAGAACTCATCTTTGATAGGAGTGATAAAATAGGGAATTTTGTATGCTAAAATTGATACCTTTTTGGTGTAAATTCTAGGAGTTTGCTCTCAGCCAAGTGTGTGACATTCTTTCAAATTGCTTTTCTTCAATAAAAATCCTGTACGATTAGAAAATAGGACTGATGATCCTTTCAGGCTCCAGATCTGTCAGAGTATGGAAAGAAATACATGAGAGCCAATTCTCCCAAACAGGAGAGAGAACGTCTCTCTTATGCACATAACAGGGATAAGGTACAGAAGTAACACAGCTCATAAAGATAGTAAAGATGCTGCAGGAGAAATTACTGTGTAAGATAACCTGGGTACAGACTGTATAGATCAAAGTCAACGTTTTCATGTATATTGAAAAGCAAAGTGTGAAGCCAGTGAAATACAAACTGCAAGAATAGGTTGCTATCAGCTGAGACACACATAAGAGAAGCACAACTGCAAATTGCCCTGATGAGAACAGGAAAAGGCTTGGCTGCTTTTGCTACCTGAAAATTCAAGAGTGCCACTAACTGGTGAACCTCAGTAATGAGCTCCGATGCTCTTTCCCTCTGAAGCCCAGGGCAGTCACTCACTTTGCCACTCCCTCCAAATACCACTTCACCTGACAAGTGTATTAACCCCAGCCAACAAATACCCCCTGCGCCATCAGTGACTGCCAACAGACAGCAACATCTATGTTAAGAGTAAGTGCAACGTGGAGGAGAATGTTACCAGCGGGTTGGAGGCACTGAAACATCTACCAACACGCTATTTTCCCCAGTGATTTCCACATACATTGCACAAATCTTTCTTGGTTCTTCATTCTTTGCTGCCCTTCTGATGGCTGCACATCTGGGATGATATTGAAAGCTAATTCATGCTCTCCTGTCTTGGAATTAAACATAAACCAGCTGAAATTTTATAAAGAAACAATCTTATTAGCAGGAAAGATGAAAGCTAAGAATCAGAGAAACTATCCTTCTCTTTCTTAGATTACTCATTTTCTGAAGATTAACATGAGGAGGACCTGGAAGCCTGTCAAACACCAGATCAAAAGCTCCCCACAGGAGTTCAAACAGTAGAAACTGTTAGCAGCAAGAAGAGGATTCACTGGATTACGTCTGTAGCAACGGGATTAAGTTTTGCCCAACAAGCTGCATTATCAGAAATAACGAGGTCATTTTTACATTAAGAAGATGAGGGAAGAATGAACT